GTACTCCATAAATACACTCTTAAGCAGCACTTTTCTATCTGCTTATATATAGTGTAAACTATGCATAATATTAGTCCAAAGCCAAAAGGCTCATGATTGCCATGTACTTCATTGGGCTGGGCCCCAGCTGAGTCAACATTTGAAGCCATGGTGACTCCACTGCTCAGCATGTATATGTACATCAGATATCCCCTCAAAGGATGTCTGTGTTAATTAACCCCCACTCATGACTGGAACCAGGTGTTCTTGTCACAAGTCCTGGGATCCTCCAAAAATTTATATACAGGAGAGGTGCAAGGCAACATGTTCTGGGCCCACCTCATGGAGGGCAGGGTGACACTAATCATAGGTGACAGGCTGAGACACAGGGTGACAGACGGATTCTGGGGAAACTGTTTAGGGCCCCATTTGGTGATGTTTGTCAGAGCTTCGAGGCTGGTGAAGAAACAGAAATAATTGGAAATGGGAAAGAAAGGTGCGGCTCAGCTGTAGAAGTGAAGAGGAAGTCGAAAAATTATGCAATGTAAGCAACTTCCTATGATTTGACGAGTCGCTGGTGAGGGCGACTGAGCTTAATGGGCACTATCACATATCTTATTCAGATGAACTGTAGTAACCTATGCTTTTGACAGGTTCCTGTTACTTACCTGGCAGGGGAAACACCATAATCTAGAAGGTGGTTTCCCTGCTGGCAGGGGAAAACCACAAATGGTCAAGTAGTAGTTCAATTAAAATGGCACTGTATAGTGGAGGGTTACACCCTTGTCTGCTTGTGGACAGGGCTCCCTATGAGAGCCTCATAGTTAGCCTCCCACTGAGACATCCTGTGGGAGGATCTCAGCTACCTGCCTGCTTTATGGAATTGGGAGCCTCCTCCCTACCTGGATCCTGTGGCCATACAGCTGAAGGCAAGCAAAACTTGGCGGCATCTGAACCCCAAGCCTCCACTGAGCCTGCATGTATGATGCCCAGCAAAGGATACGGAAGTATCTGAAGCCCCAGGCCGGGGTGGAGGTTGCTTGCTGGTAGCAGGGCCACATATGGTTCTTAAATGATTCATACAGATTTGGAATTATTGATTTGGCTGATTTGACTTGAGACATGAAAATTTTTCCAAAAAAAATAAAAAGCACAGTTGCCTAATATGACTGTATTTTTTATAGTCATGCTGAATGTTAGCTGTATTTAATCAGCTTAATAGTTGGTTTCCATTACTGAGTACATTTGGCAGCAGTTAAATGATAGTGTATTTAATGAGGTTTCCTTGTATGCAGATGTAAGAGGAGGGGCTTTTACTCCCATGCTGATTGGAGGAAAAAACCTAGTCTTTTATTCAAGTAAACATACTATTTATTTTATTTTATTGTCAGTCTATCCTGGAAGAGCTGGAGTTTGAGAAAAATTATTTCATTTCATAGGACAGAGAAAGATGCCTGTTTACATTAATATGTCTCCTGCATAATAAGATAAGGCATAAAATGATAACAGTGTGCTGGACTTGGGTGATAGATTATTTGGGATGGATGTTCAAGAAACAGAAAATGGTGAAACAATTATGAATTAAAAAATTGAGATAGCAGTTCTGGCTTAGATGATATAGTGTTATTGTCTCTTTATGTAAAGTTTGTAACTTCCATTATTAGTGCAATTTGTAGAATGGTGAGCTGTGACTTCAGGGTTTCTATGTTATGTTCTTGTACTTTCAGCTAAGCCCCATAATATACCACCACCTATCACCTATATCGAACAGCCATCTGACCCTTTGTTGTGAAGGGCAATATATAAATCAAAAAATTCGAATAAATGAATAAAAACAATACCGTAAAAAAGTGCTGCATATGTGTAAAAAAAAATTAAGAATGTACAAATAGATTTTTTTAAACCCTTTTTTAAAACCCCACTTCTATTTTAATTACATTTTTACTTTATTGTTTTTTTCCTTTTAACATTTTGACAGCCCTACATTAAGGCCTAAACTTACATTGATCTCTTAAATCCATTTAAATAAAAAAAAAAATATTATTTAAACAGTACATTTTTCCTCCAGCATTTTAAGGAAAGTCACTGTTTAAGCACTAGGAGCCAGAGTCCATGTGATAATCAAGCTCTCCAATGTAGATTCAGAGAACATATTTTATTTTATTTTATTTTATTTTTTTACATTTTTCAGTTCAGTTCGGTAACTGGTTAGTTCAAAGGCAAGAAACTGATTGGAAGTTGGAAAAGCAAGAAAGCTTATTTTCATCTTCCAATTTCCAACTGAAAAATAGGTATGAGAAGCAGAGATCTATTAGTTTTCAAAATCCTAAGGAAAATATTAATCAGAAATGTTAATTATGGATAAGGACCTGCCAAAATCACGAAAAAGTGCAGTCTGGGCTCCCTGGGGAAAAAAACCAACTAAAAACCTCCTAAAAACTTACAGAAAATGAAATACTGGCTCCCACTGGGGAGCTAGCGAGCTAGCAGTCCTCATGGCCTCTGAAATCTGTCCACACAGCCCAATGGGGTGGGGAAGGAGGACGGGGGCTGCTGGCACAACAAGATGGCTGCGACCCATGCCCCTTGCTGTTGATTAGCTGCAAGGGCTCTCTGTCATAGGGCTCCACCCCTCTCCAGTTGGCAGCAAAGGACAGCACTGCATGACGGACAGCCCTCGCAACCAATCATAGGTGAGGGGTGAGGGTCACCAGGGTCCCTTAGCCAGTCAGAGGTGTGGAGGGGCCTACCACACTTGGCCCATGAAAATGGCTTCCAGCCCTGCGATCTGCCCATGAAATGGCCCAGCAGCCCCCTCAAGTTCAGCAGATCCCTTATTATGGATACTACTAATTTTTCTTAATAAATTGCTTTTATTTGCAAAACATACACTGATATACTTTGTTTGTTATGTCTAGTACACTTAACAGAGTTTTAAATATTAATGAAAATTTCAAAATGTATAGGTGTTTGGGCATTTTAAATTGAATTCAAATTTTTATCCCAAAGCAGCTTGGTATAAATCACAAGTAAAAAACAATAATCTTTAAAATAAACATAATTTACTATTAGAAATACTATTGGAATAGTAGTCTAATAAAATTTTAAACATTTTAAAAATCAACATTTTAAAAAGTCTAATAAAATGACTAATAGAATAAAATTACCAATAGAATTATATTCTAATAAAATTAAAAATAAAATCTAGTAATCTTTATAAACCCAGGCTAAGCAAATCATTGCTTAAATATGCATATTGTATATCCTCCTGATTAGGAAAAAGTTTACAGTAAAATCTTCATTTACCTGGAGAGCAGCATGCCTTAATGGTTACCAACTACTGGGAAGAAACTGTTCTGTAGGAAAATAAGTAAAAACCACAAATACAAAACAGAATTAAAACTAGTTACTCTAGCCTGCACCTGTTGTCTTCTGACAATTAAAATTAGAAATTTAAAATCACTTTGATTTAAATCAGTTGGCCCCAGGGGATCCAGAAGGGGTGCAGTGGCATGGACACCCCTCCAGCCCCTTGCAGTCAATACTGCAGAAGCAGCAGCCAAGGCCTTTTTTTAAGTCCTCAAATTGGGTAAGACTTCCCCCCATCCCTTCCCCTCTGCACCTCCTCTCCCTGCCTCTCCCTTTCTTTCATCTCCCTTTACAAAATCCTGGACCTTTCCCTGATTGGCCCCAAGGACAGAACTGGGAACAAGCAGTTCATGAATTCTAATCCTTTGTTTGGCAGATTCCCTCTGACTGTGACTCGATAAACTATTTCCCCGGTTTACAATCTGCAAATGGGGTTTTTAGCACATTCCTACTTCAAGTGGGGGTGAAAATGTAGTGTTCTGAAGATGAACTGCACTCTGTAATTACATAGCACTGTTCAGTTTTGCTTCTGAAATTTCACCAGAATTTTATATCTATATACTTTTGGCATTATTAGTTTTCCTGCCTCCCTCCATCACAGAAGACGTTCTAGTATAGGTAACGCTTTGGACCTATTTCATGTTTCTGTGTGAGGGCTCTTAAAAACAAACAAATAAAAATATCTGTTTTTTTAACCAGATGTTGGTATCTCTGTTATTGTGGTTGCCAGTAAAATCGGAATAATCTGTATTCAATTATATGTTTCTTAGTGATGAGCCAGGGCATGGTACTAGACCGGTTAAGTTGTCTTGCATCTCCAGAGGCATGAGCATTTATATTTATATTTAAATATAAAAAAAATCTCCAGCAAGCACCCTGTTTGTTATTTAGTCCTACTTGCTTTTCATAGATTGCATCTTATGGTAATAATAAATGCCTGGTAGCATCTGCTGTCATTTAAAGTTGTAAAGTATTTTTCCCCTAAATTTCCCTCTCTTGTGTTCACAACTTTTCAAACTTTCCCTTTTATTATGCTGAATTTTTTCATGCTTTGTTCTTTAAAGGTGATTTTTTTTGTAAACTCGGAGCATTTTTTCTTTAACTAGTCATAAGAACTTAAGTCAGTGACATATCTAAGCTGTTCCCTTTCATATCCACATTACTCTGTACAAGTCATTTTAAGATTGCATGCGTATATCAGAGGCCTCTGAAAAAAGAGTAGACTCAGATTCACTAATGGTCTTTAGTCAAGAAAAAGAAGTGAAAGTTAATAGTTATACAGTCTGAATATAAAATGAAACACAAATATAATAATAAGAAACCAAGCAAGATAGAGATATGCTTTTGCCAGCTCTAAAGATTTGGAATACCAGACTGGTTTTCTTTTAGCATTTTAATTATTGTCCTCCATATCAGTAAATAGATTCTCACTATTTCATGCGTGCAGGCACACCCATCCCCACCATGACTTTACCCTCAGATAAGGTTCTCTCCTTAAGCATGGCTAAGTAAAATAAGTGCAATACAAGATTAGCAAAATAGGTTCATCTCGGAGTGGGTTTTTCATTGATTTCTAATTTTGCTGCTTTGTCTTCGTGAGATTGCCTGAGAGGCGTTCAGTGCTCCCTTAATGTCTGAAAACACTCTTACAGGCCAATCTGCCCCTGCTACAGCGGGAGCTCCTGCACTGTGCAAGGCTGGCCAAGCAGAACCCCGCCCAGTACCTCGCTCAGCATGAACAGCTGCTTCTGGATGCCAGCACCACCTCACCTGTTGACTCCTCAGAGCTGCTTCTCGATGTGAACGAAAACGGGAAGAGGCGAACTCCAGACAGGTGAGAAGCCACTATACTTTTACACTGCAACAGTAAACTTTTTTTTAGGTTACATGACTAATGTGCTGATGCCTCTTACAAGGAGCAAAGCAATGTGGATTTCCTCATTTCATCCCACAAAAATTGTGCTTAGTTTTCTAAGATCCATTTTTTCAGTTCCACCTAAGTAATATCCAGATTATCCTTGAATCTGTACCTACCCTGTCTTCTACTTGATGTCAGACTAACATAACTACCTCTGTCTCTATATGAAATGTATATTCATATAGGTCATATAGGACTCCAAACAGTGGAGTCCTATGCAGCCACATAAGCCTGAGGGGAGAATGTGGCTATGCATAATTAGGAATAATACAAATCTGTTTATAGTGCTATTACTAACTATTTGGTACATAGTATCTGTATGCAGTTTAAAGTGCTTAGCAGATCATTCCATATGCGGGTCTGTCTGCATTTAGTTTTTTGTCCAAAGAAGATTTAAATATGGGAAATCAGATAGCCACACATGTTGGGAAATATAAGGTATGCTTCACAGTGCAATTGAATTTTCAGTTATGTATTCAGCAGTGTTATGTTTTTAACCATAGATATGCAAAGATATATTCACCTTTTTAAATCTGTAGAGGGAAAATATTTTCAACATAAAACAAGGGATAACTTTAGTCATAAGGCCTCCAGAGAAACAGTGACACGGTATGTGATGGAGTTTTTTTCTGGATGAAGGGCAAGACTGTCTTTCCTTATTCTAATAAAGTTCTGTGTTTAGTGGGCCAAGTAGTGGATTTTAGCTGCTGTTTTGTCACTGATAGTACCAAGCTGACAATTTATACAGTTCCACTTGGAAGAAATTTCTTTTGTGTGTTAAGCATCACAGATGCCCCAGATAGCTTCTGTAGTGAAAAGATGGAGATTCTGTAAGCCCTGAAGGGAATGCAGTTTATATGGGTGACATTTTAGTTTATGGGCAGAGAGTGGAAGAACACAGCATATGGGAAAAACATGGTCTAAAGACAACTGAGGCTGCTAGAGGAAAATGAAATAGCAACTATTTGAGAATATGTGAATTTGTGAGGTTCAGAAAATAGGTGCGAGGTCTTGTCAGCATTTAGTTCATGATACCTCAAACCACTCATGCTACAAATGAACAGCAAAGATTAAGACTCGGTGACTGTTAGAGGGCAGGAAATGCCCAATGTATTTGACATGTCAGTCTACTGCAGAGTACATGTTACGGATATCATTTGAGCTGGTTGGCACATTATTGAGATGCCTTGTTGACCGCCCAAGATTCTCCAGACCCTAGAAGAGTTACATGGATGCCAGTTTTTGATTGAGATTTCTTTTTGCTTCCCTCCCTACAAAAGCTAGACCAAATATTAGTAGCCTCCAGTAGTATAACTAGGACAGGGCAAAGGGTACCCACCCCAGGTGCTGACTATGAGCAGGCACCAGAATCAAGCTCTTTGCCACTTCTGCCCACCATAAGAGCTGGGTAGGGCAGCATCTTACCAATCAGTGCATCTGGGAAGTGGGGGGCAAGTGGGGCAAGCAGAATGGTGCTCCACTTCCTCTGGAGAGCCTTTGTCAGTGCTCTGGTTCCAATATGTATATATGGGGGAAAGGGAAGTGAACAGGGCACCAGGATGCCTTCAAAGAAGTTCCGGCCGCAGGAGAGCTGATACTGCTAACCGATCAACAACAGCAGTAGCAGCAGCCCAGGAAAGTAAGACTTCTTTTCCCTTTGCCCATGACACCATGTTCTCCTCCCTCCCCCATCTCCTGTGGTTGGCATACTCTTGTCTTCCCCCATCTTGACCACTCAATGAGCTCCCTATGCCACTGATGGTCACAAATGTTAACAGCAAACTGTGTCCAAGATGGGTAACTTGACTAATGCATCAGGAGTTTCCCTTCAATCTTGTGACTTCATGCAAAGGAAGGAATTTTCTTAGCTGAAGTATCAGTTATTTGTGGCAAAGGTACCACAGTCCTTTGGCATTTGCAAGACAACATATTGAAAATAACACGTGCTGGGAAACCAGAACTTCCCAAAATATTAGAAATGAGCCCAGGGATCTATGTGGATCTTTACCATAGGATGGGAGCTAGAACAAAAGGAGGAATCATATGCTTCTTACGTAATAAACACAACTTAAAGGATCTGTGAAGTCACTTTAGGTCTTTGTATGCACTAGGTCCTGGAAAAGGGGGAAGATGACATTAGGTCTGTATAACAGAGGAAAGAACCTCGCAGTGCTTCCTATTTTTCTTGGTTGGTAGAAATTATTTTTTCTTGACCCATCTGACAGGAGAGCATAACACTTGGCATTCCAAAAGCATAGCTATTTAGTTTGAGCCACAATTTGCTGAGTCTCAAAATTTGTGGTGAGTACAATTTCAACCTATGTTTGGTTTGTCTCTCTTGTCCAGGAAAGCATGAGCTCACGGAGAGTGTAGTTTGTTAAGAGTAATGACTCAAAAGATTCTGGATTCAAAAGTAAACTTTAATCAGGAATAGCCCACTTTAAGGAATTAGGGCCAAGGAAATTTGTCCAACATGGAATTCACAGATGTGATTTGTGAGTTAAGTGACCTAGAAATGGAATTCTTAACAGCCAGGATGTTAAACAGGCATATGCAAGCTACTAGGAAATGCTAAGCAGAGGGGTATCTGAGAAATCTTAATATTTTCCCAGAAATGAATACCTACCTACAGCCCTTAGGCTCCTGTGCAAAATTAAGATTCACAGCCCAAAAATCCCTCCTGGACATAAGCACCTAAGATTTTTCTTTGGTCCCTTCTTGTATGGATGACAGCTTTACAACCTCTATTTTTTTAATGGTGGTCTGGGGTGGAAAAGGCAATGTTCCATGCCCTCCTTCAGCCTAAAAGAGTTGAAGTCCTAATCTCCCACTTCCCATGAAAAAGCCTTGACCATTAAGTTGTGTTGGCCTAAAAAACAGAGGCAGACAAAACTCTTGGGTTAGAGACAATATCTTGTATTAGAGTAACTAAATAGGAGCAAAAAATTTCTTTCTTTGTAAGTGTGTGGGTCCAAATACCTTCCATCAGGCAGAGGAGAATTAAAAGATTATAAAAGTTCTCCCAGGTAGAAAAGAAACTTCATCTTTTTTTTGCTACTGTTTAATTGGTCTGATAAAAGATATCGCCTTTAACCCAAGAATTTTGTATGCCTCTGCTATTTAGACCAACACAGCTAAAAACTATTTCACTGAAACATGGAAGAAATTGTAATTAGCCATTGGAAATGTAAACTTCATTGTTAAACAGGAAATAAGCAAAATTCAACTCCCTGCCTGACATCTGACACCTTCAGGGAAGAAACCTGCTGGAGCTGTGTGTCTGCCTAATCTGCATATTCATAGAGCAACTTTTTCACAAATGGACTTTGAAACCCAGGGGAACTGCACCATCCTTTACCTCCCCTGTACAAGATGAAGTTTCTTTTCTACATGGAAGAACATTTACAATCTTTGAACTCTCCTCCACCTGATGAAGAGTGTTTGGACCTGTAAGCTTGCAAAGATAGAATTTTTTTTTGCTTACTATTTAGTTGATCTAATAAAAGAAATGATCTCTAGCCCAAGAGTTTTGTCTGCCTTGAGCATCAAGTGTGAGTCCTTTCTCTCTCCTCTGTTTCAGCTTTGCCATAACATAGAAATGAATAGCAGGTTCATTTGGCCAGAAATTAAGCAAGATACAAAAGCTTTAAGATGTCATGGAACCCTGGGCTCCACCTACCAAGTCATGCCACCTCTTATGCTCTTGCCTGGCGCAGCTTCAACAGGAGGGGTGGAAGGTATTCCCATCCCCGCCTGGCTTTTGTAACCTGGTCTAAGTACAAAGGTTCAAAAAGCCTGAGGTGGAATTGGTTCAATCTTCACAGGTTTGTCCAAGTTGCATAGTTTGAACCAATAAACTGAACTGACCTTGAGTGTTCGGGGGACAGAAGCCTGCACTGGCCCAGGCTGAGAGCCTGGGGATGCTCAGATGCACCACCCCTCATGGCCAGCTCCCTAAGGCTGCTAAACCCAGCCCAGTGGCAGCCCAGGCCTGATTGGCTGCTGGACCCATGACCAACCTGCACCCTCTACCCCCACTGTCAGCCGCAAGGAGGAGAGAGCCAGCAGAAAATCTGTGAGAGGACTGGGGAGGGGGAATGTACCACCTGGCCCTGGGGTCTGCCTGGCATTGGGTGGTGAAAAGCCCCCACCGGGGAGGGGGACAGACCTTGCCCCCCAGGTGGGGTCTGCCTGACATGGGAAAAGCCCCCAGAGCCTGGCTAGCAGGGCTGTGATTAGTTCAGCCATGCCCCCTCCCCAGCCCCATGCCTGTGATTGGGGGGGGGCACACATGCACACACCCTGCCTGCTGTAAGAGAAAGACTACACCAGGGTTTTTTTCTCTCCCCCACAGCTCAGCTCACCAGGCTAGGATCAGCTCGGTCCTGCCCCCTCCTCAGCCCCTGCCTGTGCGAGGTGAGGACTGGAGGGTAAACACACTGGGCCAGATAGGCACTGGCCTCCCCCAGCCAGGGCCTGCCTTGCACAGGGGCAGGGAAGCCCCGACCAAGGGCTTTTCACTCCCCTGCAGCTCAGCTCACTGGGCTGAGATCAGCTCAGCTCAGCCCCGCCCCCTCTCCTCAGAGCTGATCCCCACCTGGCTCATTGGGGTGCAGGGTTATGAAAAGCCTCTGGTGGGGGCTTCCCTCCCTCTCTTCCCCCCCACACTGGGTGGACCTGAGTGTGGGGGAGCCAGCGCCTAGCTGGACCAGTGCATTCGCACCCCCTGCCTCTCTTAGGTGGGTGTTGTAGAGAGGGCAGGGCTGAGCTGATCCCAGCCCGGCAAGCTGGGTCACAGGGAAGTGAAAAGCCCCTGCAGTGGAAGTTTCCCCTCCCTTTGCTGGAAAAACCTTGGATGGGGGTGGGGAGAGGCTGCTGATGGGCTGATGCATTCCTTCCTGGCTGGGGTTGGGGAG